ATTTTAATATCAGCCTGGACACAGACAGATGACAGGTGTGTGGTGTGGTTGTTACTTGCACTCCATCTGAAGGAAAAGCCAGGACAAAGAGCCCCAGAGACTGTGCTTTGGCATCTCAGAGAACCTCTCTAGGTCCCCCCTCCACTGTCTCCTCTCACCACCCAGGCCCAGTGCTGGCACCTCTGGCTTCATTCTGTTGCCTCGGTTGGACTGCCCGAGTCTTGATTTCAGCCTCGCCCTGGCTATCATCTTTTTAACAGATTCTTCAGGTCAATCTTTGCCATTCCCAAGCTATTTCTGACCCACTTCAACATCCAGTCTGAGACCCTGCAAGCCCCTGCCCATCCAAGAGACACATTTGGAGAACAGTCTGATACCATGAAACCAAACTGGAGACAACACTGTGTTAGCATTTTTCATGGATTAGCTACTGTTCAAACACTACAACAATCTTGTGAGGTAACTACTATCCCCATTTTCTACCTGGAGAAATGAGTGTCAGAAAGGTGACTAAGGTTTCACACACCCTAGAGCGTGCACGTGCGTATACACACACACACACACACACACACACACACACACACACTCTCTTTTAATAAGTGGACATGGGATAGGTGAATAGCAGAAGCAGTACCCCAACCCAGGTCTATCTGAACTCGGAGCCCAGACTGCCAACTCTGGTAAGAGACACATTTTATATTTTAAATATATTTTTATAGATTTCAAAGAGGAAGGCGGGGGGGGGGGGAAGGAGAGGGGAGAAGAGAGAGAGAGAGTGTGTGTGTATGAGAGAGAGAGAGAGAGAGAGAGAGAGAGAGAGAGAGAGAGAGAGAGAGAGAGAGAGAGAGAGATATCAATGATAATAGAGAATCAGTGATTGGCTGTTCCTGCATGCCCCCCTACTGAGGATCAAGCCCACAACCTGGGCATATGGCCTTGACCAGAATTGAACCTGGGACCCTTCAGACCCTGCTAGGGCAAAACACTCACATTTTAAAACAACACTAAGTTAAAGGCATAAGTAACTCCTGGCCGTAAGCCCCTGCAGGCCATGGCCTGGGCATCTGCTTACTCCATGCCACAGGTGCTTCCTGGCAGAAAGAGTGCAGAGCAGAGTTCTATGAAAACAGACTGTTTATAATAAAATAGCTACTCATTAGTAATAAAACACAATCATTCCCCTTACTTTCTTATTCAAACCCATGTTATGAGCCTTAATTTAAAGATCAGCTCAAATGGCACCTATCTGTGAGCCACTCCCTGAAAGAATGATATGTTTTTTCCTTTTCCCTTTGTGTAGATTGTGGTATTCACCACACTGAGTCACAGTCCTCTTCCTGCTAGACTATGAAATTCCCAAGGGCTGTATCTGACTCTTCTTGCATCCCTACCACAGTATCTGGCACATAGTAGGGACTCAGTAAATGTTTATTGCATGAATGAATTAATTAAAGAAGTAATCTCCCAATGTGCATTATCCATCTAGTGTTGGTGATTACCAAGCTTGAAATAAACTTTTAAAATGCTCATAAATGTCATATCAGGAAAATAGTTTGACAACTGGAGAATGATCCCCGGAAAATCATTGGGGAGTTAAATATTTCATCAAATAACTTCAGAATAAAAATATAATGAATACCATGGCTACAACATATTTTCAAAACAAAACAAAAGGAAGCATATGTTCCCTGACTCAGATTCAAGACAAGATCTGAACTTCTGCTATTTCACCATTTTCTTTGAAACTAATTGTTTTGTTGATTTCACAAAATTTTTAAAAATATACATTTTATTGAATTTTTACAGAGAGGAAGGGAGAGAGATAGAGAGCTAGAAATGTTGATGAGAGAGAATCATCGACCAGTTGCATCCTGCACGCTCCCTACCAGGGATGTGCCCGCAACCAACGTACATGCCCTTGACTGGAATCGAACCCGGGACCTTTCAGTCCGCAGGCCAACACTCTATCCACTGAGTCAAACCAGTTTCGACTGACTTCACAGAATTTTTAATATGTCATTTTACACAGTGGGTTGTGAGACTTAAGAACTTAATTTCAACTCTGAATTATTCTAAATGCTCATTTAAGAAAAAAACAGAAAATTTTAACTCTGCTAAAAATATACTGTATAATTCAATGCTCATGTTATGGTTAAAAATCTAGATGTGGTTAATTATCCACATGAGAAGAGAAAGTCAGCACATTCATAATTTGGAATTAGATTTTCACTTCTATTATAAGAAGTAATTATGTATTAGAGCAAGTAATGTTCAACACTAGTTCATGAAAGCAACACTAAATGTCAATACAAAGATTTCATGAATAGCAATGGGGCATAATGACCAGACAGTGGATGTGCCCACGCAACCTAAGAATTCATATCAGGCGATACCGTGAACTGTTTCACTGTTAGGAACAACCTTCGGTACTCTGAAAGAGCAGATTGCAAATATCTCAGGGAGTCAATTTATGAAAGATAAGAGTTACAACATAAAAGCCTTGAATGAACTTGAATATAAAAAAAAAAAAAAGAGGGAGAGAGGATGTATCAAGACAACTGAGAAAATGGAACTCTAGACTGTATATTAGTTAATAGCATTTATCTAGATTAAATTCATTGTGTAATATTATGTAGAAGAATCCTTTGTTCTTAGGAGATATCCATGAAGGACTTGGGATTCTTAAAAGGTTCAGTAAAAAAAAACAAAAGGGTGGGTACATTTATGTGTAAGGAAGGAAGGATGTGGCAAAATATTAACAACTGAGAAATTTAGGTAAAGGTGATCACTGAATTATTCTTTATATTTGCCTATAAACTTGACTTTTTTCAAAATAAAACCCTGGGGTTAAAAGAATTCAGAGAGAAGCATGACCTCAATGCTGCAAGGCACTGTTTCAAGATTAATGGGACACTTCTAGACATGGTGTGGTTTTTAGTTTTTTTTTGTTTGTTTTTTTTTTTGGGGGGGGGTGGGAGAACCATAGAGGAAAACCATTATAATATTCTTAAAAAATAATGAAGTACAAGTAATAAAAAGAGATGCCTATATTAAAGGATGACTATCAAATATATAATTCTTTAAAGCTTTTTAAATAATAGGCTAAGGCACAGAGCTGAGGATTTTATTGTTTTCTTTTGTTTTAAACAATGTTCTAGAGAAGAACCACTAACATATTTGAGAGCCTAGTCATTCTGCGTTATAAAAACCATCTAACTTAACCATCACAAGTATTATTGTAGTTGGTATGATCCCAAACTGAAAGAAAACGAAAATAAGGAAGTAAAACTCAATGAGGTAAAGAATGCACATGCAAATTCACAGAGTAAATGGGTGGTTTGAACTCAAGTGTGTGTAACTTCCCAGGCTAGGGTCTTTCCCATATGGTATATTAGATGACCAATGAAACAAGATTGTTGTTTGCATGGTTTTACTCTCAGATTTTATGGAGAGACTACATCTACCACCACAGACAATTTTTCATAATTACAACAATAAGTGGTATATTTCTATTTTTTCCACCAAAAAGAAACACTTTCCAAAACAGAAAGCCTACAATAAGCTTAAAGAAAAATTAAACCCCAAACTTTCAATTCTAAAATAGATTGTGTATGACTTCTGTGTATTTAAAAAGATATACATAGAGAGAAGTAATTACTAAGAGTAGAAATGGGTTTAAAAAAGAAAAAAAGCAGAATATTTCTTTTTCATTTTGGATAGAAATGCTCTCTCAACTGTACTCCCTACTAGTGTAGGTAGTGAACCTAATTTAAGCACTCATTAATATGCGAAGGTCTATCATTGTGAACATGCATTAGGTTTCTGTGGTACCTTTAAGACAGCAATAACCACAGGGGTATTAACAAATATAAAGCAATTTTCTCTGATTCTAAATGGCCCATGATGACAAGTTCTTATGGTAACTGTGTTTTAAGTTTTCTTGTCCTTTATTAAAAACTCATTAGCTGAAGCCGGTTTGGCTCAGTGGCAGAGTGTTGGTCTGCGGACTGAAAGGTCCCAGGTTTGATTCCGATCAAAGGCATGTACCTTGGTTGCGGGCACATCCCCGGTAGGGGGTGTGCAAGAGGCAGCTGGCCGATGTTTCTCTCTCATTGACGTTTCTAGCTCTCTATTTCTCTCCCTTCCTCTCTGTTAAAAAAATCAATAATATATATATAAACTGGCATTAAACACTGTAGTGTCCTTTAGCCAATCTTCTAAATCATTGCTTCTAAACTGTGGCTCCTCAGTCAGATAACCATGCAGATAATCACGGATCAAGAGCAGGAATAAACAAACTAGGGTGAGAGTCTCCATTTAAAAAGGTACATTAGCCTCAGTGCACAGTACAATTTTAAATTTAGCCAATCGGAGAATTATTACCAATTATTTCCTAGTTATTGCATATCACAGGTTATGTTTTTCTGGGCAAATGACAAATAAAATACTACTTTATAGCAGTAATTTTCTTTTTTAAATATATTTTTGTTGATTTCAGAGAGGAAGGGAAAGGGAGAGAGAGATGGAAACATCAATGATGAGAGAGAATCACTGATCAGCTACCTCCTGCACGTGCCACACTGGGAATCGAGCCAGCCGGCCTGGCATATGCCCTGACCAGAATTGAACCATGACTTCCTGAGCTACACCAGCCCACCTATATTAGCAATTTTTAACCTTTTTCAACTCTTAGCACAGGAAAACTAAATATTTTTTTTGCCAATCTGACCAAAGAAATAGGTATAATTTTGATTCATTCACACTGGATGGCTTTGTTGTGTTGGCTGCTGTCATTTTTTGAATTTGACAATCTAAGGGAAAAGGGCTCAGTGCCTTGACTAAATAGTCAGGTATTGCATGTTTTAAAATTCTTGCGGCACACTGGTTGAAAATCACTGCTCTATAGCAACTACTCTTTTCATACCTTCTCCAGTACTGCAATCATTTTTAAAAAAAATGTCACCATTATAAAGCAAAATCCATAAATCAGTCAGGCTTACCTGAGGCCCGCCTCGTGAACCGGTTTATTACTGCAGCTAAAAGAAAAAAAAAAAGGCAGAATAATATCAGATAAAAATCTAATTTTAGCCACAGTCATGAAAAGAAACTAAATTGTTAAGTGATCCTATTAAGTTGAATATGAAAAAAAAAGTGAATAAATAATCAAGAGGAAATACCACAAATGTGTGAAAATTAAATGTTTAATTTTACTTGTAGCCAAAGAAATACAAATTAAAAAATTTCACCTGTTCAATCAGTTTAAACACTTTAAATAAATAAATAAATAAAACTTGTTATAGACAACTTAATCTACTTAACTGAAGACAGTGTAAATTTATAGAATATTTTTATAAATAAGTCGGTAACTACATCAAGTGCCATTAAAGGTTTGTGCCCTTTAATAGAGCAATTCCATTTTAAAAGATTTATCCTAAAGTAAGACCACTAGAGGAAGAAAAAAACAACACAAAAAACAATGTATGACTATAACTTCAGCAGCATAATTTTTACAATGAAAAAAAATTAGTAAACAAAATTTAACCAGGAGATAATAGTCTCCTAATTTACATACCAAAATAATTTAACCATATATTTACAAAGTTACACCTTACTTCCATAAAAGCCTTTCGTTGGGTAAACTGTATGTTATGTATATTTATTTACTCTTCCATCAGTTTTCTTGGATACTTTCAAACCCATTTTTCACATTTCCTTCAGAACCTAGTCTAAAGAAAGCCTCCCCAGAAAGCTACAAGGACAGAGGTGCACACAGCTTCAACCACAGGAATGCAGGACAGGAATAGTGTAGGCTGGTAAAGGCAAAGGGAAGGCAAAATCTTAGCCTTGGGGAAAATAGAGCAGACTTTTTCCTCCTGCCTCTCCAGCGTCTCTGGACAATGACATCACCATCACAGCACCACAAGCTTCAGGTTGGAAATATTGGGTCCCTTAGGTTTCTGTGTCTTCCTGGACTGTTTAAGGCAAAGATTTTCGACACAGTGGCACTGCCACCTAGAAGTTGTATTCTGAATTTGTGGGGGTCATTTTTCATTGTCTCAGGAACACAGAAGACATCCTTGGCATTTGGAAGACAACATACAGGACAGGCCTGTACCACAAAGAACTCTTCTGAATCTCACAACTATTGTCCTTTTTTTACTTTCAAATATTTCACTGGACATTCATGTTGGCCAAAAAATTCGTTTATAACCATCTGAGCCTAGATCTGAACACTGTGTTATGTAGACATGATGATTTTATAGTTTTAATATACATCAAATTTTCCACAACACAACTACAACATAGATGAAAGGAATTTGGGGTGGGGGTGTTGTGTTTTATTTTGTTCGGAATTTTACTCAAAGATGTTCATTTCAAAAAATCATGTCAGTGCTGAAATGCTACTTCATACTCTTACTGATTTCCATGTGAGTGGGAAAATCTAACCACAATATGTCTTCCTATGTACATACTGATGCACATACCTACCAAAGTACATTTTACTTACTGCACACTGCTTTCCTTTATTTCTCCTTTATATTTTTGCTAGAAATTATATTAATTTTTAAATTGTGGGTAGACAGGTTATAAGAATGATTTCCATTTCCTGATAGGAAATGGGACACGGGATCAGGCAGTTAAGAAGATGGTTGCACCAGGCAAGTGATATGCAGGAGACGACGTGAACACTGGATTTTGACAATTACCAAAAAATTCAATCCATCACATCCACATTCCTCAATATCTACTCGCAAGGATGAGGCACACATTTCCTGCAAAACCTTTTGGCAAACTAATGGGAACCTTCACCATTTTCCTAGATGTTTCAGTCTAGCTAACCGGGGTAGCTTAGGCTCCATCCACTGCTGGCCCCGTTTCCTTCTGTGAAACCTTGGATGAATCATGTCACTCTGACTTAAATTCTCAACTTATAAAATATGAGAAGTTAAGATCTGCCTTCCTTCTTTCAAGAGGATTTTATGAAGAAAAAATATAAACACCTCTGAAAGTGTCTGTAAACTATTCAAATGTAAAAGACTAGTATTTATTTACTGTGAGCAAATGTTACCAATTTTAATATTACCACTTTAACATATACAAAGTAAACAGCAGTACAAATTCACAATGGTTAACAGATGGTGTTGTTTATTTAAGTCCTCATTCAGGTACGTTTTTATTGATGTCAGAGAGAGTGAAAGGGAGAGAGGAACACTGACAAGAGATACAATGGTGGGTTACCTCCTGTACACGCCCCAACTGGGGATTGAACCTGCAATCTGGGTATGTGCCCTGACTGGGAATTGAACCCGCCACGTTTTGGTGTATATGACAATGCTCCAACCAACCAAGCCACCTGGCCAGGTCAACCGATGGTTTTAAAATGGGGTAAGTCAAATTACATTTTCTCAGACTCCTGATTTCCTATCTATAAATATTCTGTGAATGTATTTATACACATAAACCCCCAACATACACACATAACAATAACAAAACAGAAAACAAAAACACTAGCAGAAAATGTATTATCTGTCTGGAGAAAAATGAAATGTGACTTAAGAATATACTAAACTGCTAATAGCTTAAAGAGATATAGCTAAAATCTTAGTGAATCCTCGAGGAAAAATTCAGAAATATTCATATAGTTTTTATTTTCTCCCCAATGCCATTCTAGTGGAATAGAGTTCTGTGTTTCTATGAGTATCTTCCCTCTTATATAACCAGAAACCCCCTCAGTTCCCAAACCATATTCCACTGGACTAGTCTCAAGTCCTTGGGTCCCAGGAGACCCAGAAGTGTAACTGATTCAAGCCTTCTTTAATCCTGAAGCATCCTTACAAGAACAGCCTTCCATGACTTGGAGTAGACTGAATGAGCCTCTCTACTCCCAGAGCCTCCCACACCTGCGACTCCTCCAGTGCCAGCAGGACCTGCTGGTCTCCCCGCCTCTCTGTGCCCAAAGCCTGGGCAGGGCCTGGCGGAGCAGAGCCCGAGTAAATACCAGTGCCACAAATCAACACGCTCTGCGAAGCCAACAGAGCGAGCTCCTTGCCCCACTTATTTTATTGCCTTTTATAAAATTTTATTTTTGAACTTTAAATTTTTGGTTACAGTTTAATTTTTGTGTTCTTAACAAGGCTATGTTTAATCTCTCAAGATTAAAAAAATTAAGATTCTATAAAATTCAACAACAAAGGAATTATCAAAGGAAGGGCATAACAGTCCCATTCTTTGGGGTATAATAGCTATTCCAGTTTAACACCTACCTTCAAAACAAAACCAATTTATATGTTTTCTAAATGAAATAATGTATAACCGCCCTCTGTTCAGTTTATTCTAATTTTTATATGCAAAGCCAGAGGATGCCTCGGGGTGTCCCAACCTGCCTCCTTACCCGCATCCACGCAGCCACCCGTCTCATCTCCTTCACACTGACCAGTGCTATCTATCCTATATAATAAAAGGCCGATATGCAAACCGACGGAACAGCAGAATGACCGGCTCATAGCCTCTCCCACCTCCACGGCAGCACTAAGGATGCCCGATGCTCCCCGAGGGAAGCGGGCCTAAGCCATCAGTCAGACATCCCCTGAGGGCTCCTGGACTGTCAGAGGGCACAGGCTGGGCTGAGGACCCCCCTTCCCCCCAGTGCATGAATTTCATGCACTGGTCCTCTAGTCTAGTATATTATCCTTATTTTCCTCTCACACTAGACTGCAAGCTCTGTGAGGGCTCGGTCCTTCCTTGTCTGTCTGCTTCACTATTGTATTCCAGGGCCTAGAACATCACTTGATATAAAATATTAGGCTTGACAAATGCTGAATGAATAGTGCTAATGGAAAATCAATACAGCAGGGGATGTTCTCTCTGACCTCTAAAGATTGTGTGGACAAATGCAAGTGATATGATATTTATATAGGTGCAAAATGAGTGAGAACTCATAAATTAAAACACAGTGCTGACTGGAAACATAAAATGAAATTAAAAGCAGTAAAGCTTGACTTGCCTTTGACTTTTTGTACAAGTAGCAAAAAGCAATATAATTTATGCCCCATAATTATGAAAATATAACCCAGATGTTAGTGTCCAACAAAAGTAATTAGTGCAGAAAGCAATGAAACATTTCTATTAAAATACAGAAAAGGGGATTTCAAGGACATCCATGTTTCCATTTTTAAAAATCAAGATGAAAAATTGACATACAATGAAATGCACAACTCAGTAAGTTTTGACAAACATACACACCTATGTAACCAACACGTCAATCAAAATCTAAAACATTTTTGACACTCTGGAAAGGTTCCATGAGCCCCCATATAGCCAATACCCACTATGCCACAGGAAATCACTGTTAGAATTTCTATCACCTTAGTTTAATTTTACCTATCTTCGATTTTCATATAAATGTCAGATTCATTATTGCTACTGAGAGGATCAATAATCAATGATTTTTAAAAAAATATATTTTATTGATTTTACACAGAGAGGAATTGAGAGGGACAGAGAGTTAGAAACGTCAATGAGAGAAACATCGAGCAGCCGCCTCTTGCATACCCCCCACAGGGGATATGCCCACAACCAAGGTACATGCCTTTGACCGGAATCAAACCCACGATCTTTCAGTCCGCAGGCCGACGCTCTATCCACTGAGCCAAACTGGTCCCGGCCAATGATTTTTTTTATTGTTAAATTGTATTCCACTGTATGAGTAAATCACAATTTGCTTATCTATTCTCTTGTTGATGGACATTTGGGTTGTTTCTAATTTGGGATATTTTGAATAAAGCCTCTGTAAATAAATAAATAAATAAATAAATAAATAAATAAATATAACACCTACTTTCAAAACAAAACCAATTTATATATATTTAATATACATATACCATATTTTCCGGCATATAAAACGACTTTTGAAAAGAAAAAAAGTCAACCGAAAATCGGGGACAAAAGACCAAAATTGCACAAAAATTACCTGCAGATCTTGACGGCAAAGTAAGTCTTTTCTTTGAAGTGGGAGGTAGTCTTATACAGCGAATAT